CGTCTGCTACCCTGCCCCCCTGGCTTGCAGCATTTCTCATTTCTACTTAAAGGTACATACAGCATTTTTTAATTCATTCTATTTCTTTAATATAATTCATTTCACTTTCACACACCCCTCGTGTCTCCAGGGAGGTGGGGTAGGGGGGAAGGTCACAGGGAACTGATGGGTATCTCCACCACAGGGCATCCCCTGTGCCATCCCTGCTGGAATCTGCCGAGGGCCCATCCACACCACAGATGCTGATCCTGAGCTGCTCCTCCAAGCTGCGGCTGCTAGAGGGGACACTACAGAGGGGCTGCCGCAATACATTGCCGGTGACAAGAACCCATCTTTTTTCCCATGTGCCACTTCCTGGGACGGGGATGGGAGCAGGGCAGAAAGTTCTCTCTCCCCGGGGTGATGGGGTGGAGATTGGGCTGGCTGGGGGCAAGACCCTACCCCCAGGTGCTGGCTGCTCTCCCAGCCGCCCCCTCCCCACTCACATCTCCTGTCTCCCAATGTCCAAACCCAACAAATTCCTGCTGCTCATCCAGCATAGCCGGCGGGACCTCCCCAGCCGGTCACAGGGCAGATTGGCTCCATATCAAACAGTTACAACACAGGCAGGCTCTGTGCCAGCCAATCACTGCATGGCCAGGCTCCGTGCCAGCCAATCAAAGACCTGGGTAGCTGTGACTCCCTCCATGATTCCATGCCATCACATGGCTCAAGTGTGTGTGGGGGTCACCAGCCCCTTTGTCCCCCCTCGTCCTAAATCAGGAGAGTAAACCTGGGGTGGTGGTTAGAGACAGGCCCCGCCCGGCCCTCGTCCCTCAGACTCCCTTCCCCATATCTCTCCCCTCCACATTCCTGCCCTCTCCTTGCCCCTCACCCCAACCCCTAGCATCCCCCACATCCCCCACTCGCTCCCCAATCGCCTCTCCTTGCTGCTCCTCACATTCCCCTGCCCCCCATCTCTGGTACCCAGAGTCTGGGGCAGCCATCTTCCCTGGCCTCAGCCCCCTGAAATCATTGTGAGGTGGTGGCCATGTTGACTAAGGGAAGCCTGTGGTGTCAGCCCATTGGCAGGGATGGGAGTGGGAGGCCATGTTGGAGAAGAGCAAAAACCTCACCTAATGTGCAGACGATCACGAGATGCTGAAACCCCCCAATAAATACTGGGTGGCTCCAAACAGAGTTGTGGGAGTGGGAATTGCTGACCCTCCCCCAGCTCTGACCCCCACCACCTGCATGTCTCTGGCAGGTCTATGGCACTGTGAAGACCATAAACCGGGGGAACCCAGCTGTGCAGGAGGTTCTGGTGGATTCATGGCCCGAATTCAAAGTCTTCCGCACCTGGCCAGGCAGAGAGGTGAAGCCCCTCAGCCACCGCACTGCACCTTGGGAACTGGATGGCTTGGGAGGATGTAGAATGGGACCCGAGGCCTTTCCTCACTAGGGGACCCCAGGACGGGGAGCCAGATTGGCTCCGGGAGGAGACAGGGGCTGGGATTTGGTGCCCTTCCCCCCTAAGGGGGCCCAGGGCAGGGACCAGGCTGGCTCGGGGGAGAGGGGGCAGGCAGATCAGTCATTCCATTGGGAATTCTCCAGTCTTGGCTGTATGTCTTCCCCTACAGGTGGCATCGGATGACTCTGATTTCTACACCAACACATACACAGTGTACTACCGGGACCTAGGTGCCCACCGGGCGCTTCTGGGCAGTGCAGGTGCTGTCAACTGGGGACAGACCTTCCGCATCCTTGTTAACATGTGCCCCAAAGCATCTGGGAGAGTCGCACAGCAACTGAACATATAGGTCCTGTCTGGGCCAAACCCCAGGATCCCGCCCTACAATGCCAGCCCCAAAGCTCTCTGCTCCCCTCAGGCTGCAAGGCTGCTCCCATGAGCCCTATGCAGGGCAGGAACATATGGGGTAGCCCCTTGCCAGTGCTGGGCTGGGGTCAGCTCATCTGACCACACCCTCTTCCCTGAGGGCTGGGGCTGGGGGTTTGGAAGCTCAGACTCCTGCCCCTCCCGACCCATGTGCCAGGCTGGGCTCTCCACACATATGGGCCCTTTTGTCACCACCATTCAGTCCCTTTCCCCACTGCTCATGGCCCATCGCTGCCCTCTGCAGGGCTCCAGGATGGAGCGTATGAAGTCTCCAAGGACAGCACTGAGGCTAAGGGGATCAAGCTAGAGGTGTTCCGCTACTTCACCTATTTTCACCCAGATCCCAGCTCCATGCCTGAGATCAGGTCAGTGTCTGCCTGTGTCACAGGGCCCCACAGGGGGCGTCGTACGGAAGGAGGCAGCCTAAGGGGTGGGGGCATTGGCCAGCATGGAACTGGGATTAGGGTGACCAGACAGCAAGCATGAAAAATTGGGACAGGGGGTGGGGGGTAATAGGCACCTATATAAGACAAAGCCCCAAATATCAGAACTGTAAAATCAGGACATCTGGTGACCCTAACTAGGATGCCCAAGATCTGGCTGGCTATTCCTTATACAGGGACAAGGGCATTGGGGTCCTGTTGCCACCAGCAGAATCTCAGTGGGATTGGCACTGAGCCCAACCTCCTTCAGGGATCCTGCAGGGACTGGGGAGCATAGCCATCGGGTGGGGCCAGCCATCGGGAGGGAGATCCCTCTTCAGCGCCTGCACAGGGCCCCCAGCCTCTGCCAGGAAACCCTGATGCAAATGGCTTCTGTGCCACCAATGGCACCCCATCCATGGACCCTGGGGACCAGGCACTCCTTCAATCAGCCATCAGCCCTGGCAGGGCTTGGGCAGCGAGAGACCGTGCTCCCCCCACATCCCTGCACCATATCTCAACTGGCCCAGGATGGAGAGGAACCTTCCCTGTCCACAGCCTGTTCAGACCTCGGCTTCTCACCCAGGACCCATACCCCAAGCTCTGAGCGCTGACCTTTGGGGCTTGACCCTGCTGCTCTCTGCCCCCCCAGGCTGGACCCGGCCGTGAGGCTCTCGTCCCTGGATGTCTCCCACGCCGACCTGCTGAATGAGACATGGGCCTTTGGGGGGAACGAGAAAAGCAGGAAGTACCTGGCCAGCCTGATCCGCCACTTCCCCAGTGTCTGCCTGCTGGATGCTGCTGGCCACCCGGTCAGCTGGATCGCTTCCGACCCGTTTGGTGCCATGGGGCCTGGCTACACTCTGCCCCAGCACCGGGGGCGCGGCTACATGGGGATGCTGACTAATTTGATAGCCAAGCGGTTGCACGCACTAGGCTATCCCAGCTACGGCTATGTGGCCATGGAGAACTACCCCATGCAGAGGTTGCAGGAGACGCAGGGCTTCCAGCGCCAGCCCAACCTGTGCTACTTCATTCTTCATAACCCAGCAGCGGCAAAAGCCCCCACATTAACCCCCAGCCCAGCACCAGGCACAGCACCCCCGTGAGTCCCCAGCCCAACCGCCCAGGGGACCTGACAAGGGAGCGGGGCAGGGGAGTATGGGGATCATTGTTAGCCAAGTGAAATCAGTAACATCTCCCAGCTCTAGCCTCACATTGGGCCTGCGACCCCCAAGCCCCACAGGCCTTGCCCTCCCGCACAGTCCTATACCCACCTTTAAAGGGTCTGTCCTACTCTTCCGAGCCCATAACCTGCCCTTCTTGATGGCCCCTACCACCCCAGACCCATACACACAGCACCCCTGTCCCACTTCCCTACACTGCCCCATCCCGGCTCCTCTTCCAGACACTCCAGCAACGGCTCAATGATCTTCCACCCAATCTAGCTACATGATCACCTGCCTCCTGCATCCGCTCTGCTCCTCCTCCTGTTTTCCCTGGGACATCCTGCTCAGCGTATTGCATCTCTACCTCCTCCACACAGTGTGTCACCCTCCCCCGACTCTACCAGAGACATCTTCCCCAGATCTCTCTCTCCCCCGTTCCCTGGGGCTTGTCACGTCTCTTGCTGTTGCACCCTGCTCTCATCAGCTCTTTCCCCATCTCCTGGACTATACAAGCCGGGGCAGCTTTAAGTGGGGTGGGAGGGGCTGGGCAATAGGTCCCCATTCAGCAACATCTCCTTGAGCACAGCGTGCTCTAACCCATGATGCTTCTAACCCATGATGGATCTGGCTGTTCCCCATTGATACTAACCAGCCCGAGAGTGTTCCCATGCCAAGGACTCCCTCAAGGGCCAGTCTGTCTCAGTAACTTAAGGGTTAAATACCTCCCAGGGATCTTGATTATCCTCAATCCAAACTTCACTATCCCCAAGGACTCCCAGCCTGAGGTCACACTCAAAAGCAATCCAGATGTGTTAAATTCAGCACCACACAGCCAAGACACCCAAATCCCCTTAACTCCACCCACCGGCATTGACCGATTGCAGGAAGTGTTTCTGGCTTCCTGATCCCAGCTGCAATTAAATTTATTGTTGAAGACACCTTTGAGTATTTCCCCTTTGCCGCGGCAATCCCTGGCATGGCTGGGACCATGTGGGCGAGGGGGAAGGTAGAATTATAGCTAGGGCCACACAGCAGTTTCCCATTTTTCAACCCACTTTTCAAATGAAATTTTCCCAAAAAAGGTTCTGCTTGTTCTCAATGTTGGCTTTGTGTCCAGACACTGAGGGCCTGAAAACCAAAGTGTTCTGGGTGCGTAACCTGGTCTGCGGGGTGGTGTCCACAGCAACAAGGGTCAGGTCAAATATCTAGAGCTTCCTTTGGAAAACTAACCAATAGCACCAGTTGGAGCTGCCCCACCAAATTTCTAGGATCACTAAACATCTTCCCTGGGGGGACTTTAAGAGACAAACTGAGTGTGTGTGAAACAAGAAGAGCTTTGTTAGAGGGGACGGGGAAACCAGCACCCAACTGGGGAGAGCTCAACAATAACAACTCACCTATCTGCAGCGGCGTATTATCGCCTAGGCCGACAAATCTGAGCACCCACGGAGAAGCTCCCCTGCTCCAGCTCGCCTCCTCTGCGAGCGCCGCCACGTCCTATTTCTCTTCCCTCCCTCCCAGCGCTTGCACCACGAAACAGCTGTTTCGCGGGGGAGGGAGGGGAAGGAGGGGGAACACCGCGCGCTGGGGGAAGAGGCGGGGCCGGGGCGGGGATTTGGGGAAGGGTTGGAATGGGGGGTAGGAAAAGGGTGGAGTAGGGGTGGGGCCAAGGGCGGGCAGGGGGGCAATTATTTCAGGGCCTAGGGGCGGCAAAATCATTAATCCACCACTGCCTATCTGCTCTTATGAATAATAAGTAAACACCCAGTCCTGCCCCTTAGTGTCTCCAGCTGTGTCCTCTTATTCAGTTCCCCGCCCACAACCACCAAACGAGACGTGGCCCCATGTGGGGACTGAGCATAGCCTGCGGTACCTGGCGAACCTGATTTGCAGATTCTTCAGCTTCTTCCCCCGGATGCCACCAGCCACCCTGTTAGCTGAAGCCTCATGAACCCCTTTGGTACCATGCCTCATGACTACACCCTGCCTCAGCCCCGTAGGTGCGGCTACATGCGGGTGCTCAGCACCACGACAGCCAAGCGGACGCATGCACAATGCTGCCCCATCTTTGGCCGCGTGGCCCTGGACAACCTCCCCATACAGAGGCTGCAGGACAGCCAGGGCTTCCAGCTCCAGCCCAGCCTGTGTCATCATTATCCACACCCCAGAGCCAGCTCCTGCCTGAGCCCCCTGACCCAGCACCAGCCACCACTTCCTACTTAAGTCCCCTTCCCCAGCAACCTCCATGGGGCAGGGCTGAGGGCCAATAGGGTGGCCAGGAAAATCCAGGGCAGCGCATTGGGCCCTATGGGACTAGAAACATCTCGCGTCTCTCCAGCACATACCAGTCTCAGGGGTGGGGCCCTACCAAATTCTCGCTCCGTTTTGGTCAATTTCGTGGTTTTAGGATTTTTAATATTGTAATTTTCACGGTTTCAGATATTTTAAATCTGAAGTTTCATAGTGTTGACACTGTGGGTGTCCCGACCCAAATCGAGGTTGGTGGGGGGAACCAGGGGGGGTGTGGTATTGCCACCGGAGCTCTGAAGACAGCGCTGTCACCAGCAGCAGTGCAGGACTAAGCATGGCAATCCCGCGGCCCCTCCCCTCCAATAGCCAGATTTCATGGCAGTGAAGTTGGTAGGACCCTTCTCATGGGGCCAGCCACTGCAGCCCCATAACCAGCCTCCTTGGATGGAACTTGCCCATAGCCCTATAGACATAGCACCCCACAACCCAGATCCCCTTTGCTGCCCCCTTCCTTGGGCTGTTTCAGACTTCCTAGCAACTGTAGCAGTCTCCCATATAATGAAACTACACGCCAACCACAGCTCCCAGTGCCAGTGTAGGTCAAAGCGGGGGTGTTACAGTATCAAGGAGGTTGAAGGCTGAAAGTTCAAAGCCAACCCTTGGCAGAAGTCGGAGAAGGACCCATGCCTTCTGCTACAACCAGCCTCAGCCACAGGGTTTTTAAACTTATTATTTGGGGGCATGGGGGAAATGTAATTGCAGGATAACAGAAGATTCAGAAGGTGCTTAAAATAGTTACATATAAATAAATGACCTCTGTGAATGCTTGCTAGGAGGGGAAATAGGGATAGAGGAGTTTGGGACTTCAGCAAAGGGAGGAGGATTATGGGGAGGTCAGAGGTTCGGGGTTCAGGTGAGGGGGTGGGATATTGGTACGGCTGATATGATGGTGGGAGGGAGGGTGAGTGAGTGAGTGGGTGTCAGGCACCCCCACATTCTTCCCTCCCATATGTGCCCTGGGATTGGGAGGACCTTTCCCTTTGGCGGTGTCTGAGCCCCACCTCTCTGCCCCCTCACGTGAGCCAGAATCTGGGGGGCCCTCCCTCTTTAGGAGGCTCTGAGCCCCTCTCCCTGCCCCTGTCACTCTGGGGGTGTCTGAGCCCTTTGTGTGTGCCAGAATCTGGGGTTCCTGCCCCTTTATAGGGGTGTCTGACCCCATTCCTTGCCTCCCCACATGTGTGTTGGGATCTGGGGGACCCTGTGCCACTTGGGTGAGCTGAGCCCTTCTCCTGCCTCCCCTTGTTGAAGCCAGGGGACCCTGCCCTTCTAGACAGTAGCTGAGCTCCTTCCCCTGCTCCCACAACACTAGATCAGGTGAGGAACTAAGCACGGGCAGGCTTGGTATATAGCACAGGCTCCCAAGCACTTACTGAGGGAAGAGGGCTAGATGAATGGAGCTATTGGTCCAGGCTGTATTATCTCAATGGGCACTCTCCTTCAGTTGATACCATCACACTGAGATCCATAGGATCCACAATATCAAAGCAGCTGCTACTGGTTAATTTCATACAATTTTACAGCTGAGCACCAGGTCAGCTACAATTAAATTTGAGATGACTTGTTTAAAAGCAGATTGTTCTAGGTTCTCTAGCATCCCCATGGTTACTTGGATTGTCTTGAAATTTCGGGTGCCTCCTGGGGGTATGACATAGGCTTAGTGACCCACATTTTAGATCATTTGATCAAGGGGTTCCTGAATTACAGCCACCCACCCAAAAACAGCTTTTCTTCAAGTTCACAGCTTCTACCAATGGATTTTGTGCACCCCTGCCTGTGAAAATGCTGATGGCTTAATGGAATTGGAAGGGGAGGGTGAGCTGGAAATGCTGGGGGTGGGGATACTAAATGTTGCAGGGTATGGTGGGGAGGGAGAAGGAGAGACACACACCAGTCTTTTTACACATGTAACAAATAACCACCACATTTTTGGGTCATACACCAACTACACACTCCAAAAGTTACAAAGCACGAGCATTATCCCCATTCCACTATTGCGTAATGTGCATGGGGAGGGGGGTAGAAATGCCCAGATACACCCATAACACACCTACTCACACTCTGTCATTGCACTGTACTGAACAGGGGCTTCAACTACCTTCAACTACCTGAAGGGGGGTTCCAAAGAGGATGGAGCTCGGCTGTTCTCAGTGGTGGCAGATGACAGAACAAGGAGTAATGATCTCAAGTTGCAGTGAGGGAGGTCTAGGTTGGATATTAGGAAAAACCATTTCACTAGGAGCATGGTGAAGCACTGGAATGGATTACCAAGGAATGTGGTGGAATCTCCTTCCTTAGAGGTTTTTAAGGCCCAGCTTGACAAAGCCCTGGCTGGGATTATTTAGTTGGGGTTGATCCTGCTTTGAGCAGGGGGTTGGACTAGATGACCTCCCGAGATCTCTTCCAAACCTAATCTTCTATGATTCCCTACACTTGCCCGGCACGTAGACACTAAGGGCGAGTTTACACTACAAAGGCAGATCAAGCCAGTGAAAAATCCCCACCCTGGAGCGACGTTGTTACACCGACCCAAGTCCCCGTGCAGACAGCGCTAGGACAGTGGAAGAACTGTGGAAGACATGGCTGCAGCCTGCTCCACATCACATCTGCTCAATTGTACAACCCCTTCAACCTCATCCCCTTCAGGTACGTGATGCCATCTAACACTACACTGTCATTTACCTTTCATTCGTGCCCACTTCACTGATGACAGTCCCCAGGCAGGAAGACCCCATGCCCCATTAGTGACACAACGTGCACAAGTCAGCGCTGGAATGAGATAAACTGGATCTCTCAGGGTACCCGGGCACCTTTCCTTTGATCATACACCTGGGGGCAGGAAGAAGGGCTCACTGTCCCTGAGGGGAACAGCCCCCAAAACCACCTCGATTCAGTCACAGCTCTGCTGAGCTGGTCCAGCTAACCCCTCCCCCATTCAGTACAGCAACACATAACGCGCTGAGGACAGCTGGAGCCCAGGGGTTCCTGGCAGCTCCAGGGGCAGAGATAAGGACCCTGGGCAGGTACCTTAACTCCTCATTGCTTGGTTTTCAGATGTGAGAGTTTTGGTGGGCTCGACATTGTTGAAGGGCACGTGGAACATTAACGCTGCGGTTTGCCAGTGACTTAGCACTGACCGCCTGGTACACAAGGGAGCAGGAGAGGTGGACACAGCTCTGCTGCAGCTTGGAACAAAGTCACAGGCTGCTAGGAGGCGACTGTGTTTGTGAGAACCCTGGGAAATCACACAGGAAAAACAGACAAAAGGAGGGAGAGCCAAGACGGATCCCATAGAGTTGGGGGTATTGAGGCAGTTGTTGCTGCCAACACGACCGCTGCCTTCAGCTCGGCTTTGCCAAGCCAACCTGAGGACTCTCTGATGCAGGATTCCAGTTAAGTAACAAATGTGATGTTGAGTTGCTGCAGATATGGATTGCATTGTTCCCAGCAGGTAACGAACTGTGACAGCCCCTTGTCAAGGAGATTCCATCAGAGGTAGAAACCTGCTACTCCCCAATGTCAATAGGGACCAATATGAGATCCCCGCCAGAGCATGGGCAAAAGAGGCACAGAGCCTCCGAGGACACACATGCCTCGGGGGACAAGGCTGGGGGAGACACAGAGCAGAGGA